ATTTTTAATTTTGAATAATTTAAAAAATCTAGCAGGGTATCACTGGGGCGATCTCGACAGTGGCTGATTAATGGCAATTTTTCTGAAGTTGAATTTGCCGAATGGAATATTTGAAAGGAGACATCCTGGGAGCGTGCGTTAAGAGCATTGTGCGTACACAGGACTCCGGATGCTTGGGCTTTAAAAGCATCATCGTCCCGTGCTCTCCGACCAGCCCTAGCAACGCTATTGATTTCCTTCGTCCCCCTTGCGAGAACTATCTCGCAGAATTTACCCTCTTTCGTGGAAAAGCGTCCTGAAAGTCCATGAAACTCCGTCCTCGTGTCAGGGGACGAGGACGTTTGTGCCGCGTTTCTCCCGTACCGAAAAAGACACCGACATGGGCTAAGAAAAACAGGGGCGAGAACAAAATGGAAAAAGAAAAAAGATAATATACAAGGAAACAGAATACGTGCTCGAAGGCAGACAAACATCGTAGTAAAACGACGTGCATTAATTTCAGGCAAATGAAATTAAGAATCACTTAGGATTTACCGAGGTAAGCGTGTTGTAATTGCTCGCCATTTATCTTGTTACAAATGGGATTAAGAATTGCTTATAATTTACAAGCATCGCGAGTCCGGTATGATGGATACTTGAAAAATATTAACTGTAGAAAATTGGTAGCCCACAGATTACGCGCTCTCCATTATGTTTTTAACGTAGCGAACATTAAGAGTTTGCCACCGTGTTTCTTCCTTGAAAGGACATCCTGCTTATTTATTTAATTTCTACTAATTTTACTACGGATTTTGGATCCCCCTTTCGAAGTCGAATGTTTAATTTTTAAGGGAACAGAGTAAAATTTAGGAAATGAAAGTAACATGAAATAGAAAATTGGGGCTCTATCCATGGTCCGCGCTTTCGAGGGTTAACAAAAACGAACCAGATTGCAAGCAGTTGCAGAAGAAGCCATCGCGATTCCGGGTTGCGTTTATCGTAATTGCCTTCCCTGTCAGCACGAAGAATGGAAACTAAACAGCATTGTGCATTTCACGGTCTTGGCAAGAGCAAAACCCGCTAAACAACGCTTAGTTCACGCTTGAAAGCCTGCAAATGGATACACATGGTCTGATTAACGAATTCGCTTCAATCTCCGCCTGTTTCCCTGCGATACAACGTTTCACAATGAGTTATCTATAGCGAATTAAGCGATTCTCACGGGTATTACCAGATAAAGTAACATCCGACAATCGGAGGCGGCATTGTAATTCCCTGCTAGTTCCTTTTCTCAGTCATTGCCCTTAAACAGTCCTCTTAATGAAGTCATCCGAGAAAAAATTAAAAGAAGAAACCTTGATTGTTACCAATCTAAGGGCAACGATCTTCCACTTTTTATTTCATTAAAAGAAAATTTTTTTAAAGTTACTTTGTTTAATTTCTTTTTTTTTTGTAGGAACCACGCGATAGAGTGTTCACAGTTTACGGTAATCGCAAGATACAGTTACTAATGGCTATTATTAGAACAAGGCGGCGAGCTTAATTGCCTGTGCCAGCAAGTGAGAAAGTTCTCAGACTTTAGCGAAGTTATTGATTTAATCAGCATAGAGATTGGGAAACCGCGAGCGAGCTTGACCCGACCGTATGAATAAATGTTCCGTGGAATCGAAAAGGATCTCGAGAAGCGAACGCGCGTGAACTCTAATATTTATCGTTCATTGAAAACTAAACGTGAAATTAAAATTCATAACGATAGAAAGTAATACCTTCCTGCGCGCATTAATTCCGACAGAAAAATTATGATGATGAGGAACGAAAAAAAAAAAAGAGGGCAACGAACTATAAATTCCAGCCTCTGCGATGTAATGACATCACAATAGTGGATCCAATCTATCTCCGCGCATCCTTGAACTATGGTTCACAGAGTGCATAGACATCGGAGTTTCCGGTTACGGTTGAGCATCTTCCGGCAAAAACGAACGTATTTCCTTCGGAATAACTTCTCGATGCAACGATGCAACATGAGATTCTGAAACAGGGTTGCAACGTTTCTCGGAAAAATCATCGAAACGAAACGTTCGACGGAGGAACGAGGGAGTTACCTGTAATAAAGTAGCTACGTCTAATCTACGTAATAAAATCGATAATGGAGCACGTTTCGAGCGGTTTCGGATCGATAGTTGATCGAATAGCAGTAAACGGTGTTTCGTCGCGGAGGAATGCAGTCGAGGAGGCGGAGGAAACGTCGCAAGGTCGGTCGTCGACTTGCCCGATCGCTTCAACGTCGATGCACTCGACGTGAAAAGTGGCGTGCACGAGAGCTGCACTTGCACTTGTTTCGGTTCTGTTCGCGATTACTTAACCGCGTGCCACCCACGCGTCTCTCGATTAAATCGTTTACGTCGTGTAACGCTTTGCGCGATCGTTAAACGGGTGTTTACAATCGAATTATCAGAGCGAGACATTTCTTCGCTCCGGGTACTTCAACAGCGAAATTGCAAAAAGAAAGGAAGATCGTACCTCGACAATTTCTATGCAGTACGAGGTGAAAGGGTTAGTTGATGATACCAACGGAACCCCTTCAAACGAGACGCTTCTTTCGACAAACGCAAGCCCGAGCGACTGGCCGCGATCCAGTTGAAAACCGATCGATCGTGAACTTGCATCAAGGCCGGGGTGATCGAAAGCACGGCCTTGACCCACGGAAGAGTCACGTAACGATGGGCTGGCCGAGACAGAGGAAGAAGGAAGCGGCGACGACGACCTCAACAAGGCAGACACGAGGGAGAAAGTGTAACCGATCCTAAGAGCTCGAAATCGAAAGTAATTTCCTCCATCCAGCTCTTTCTCTCCTTTCTCCGTTCGACGGTGCCCACGAGGATGATTCTTTCTCCCAGTCCGTGAATTCAGGTCAAGTTCACCAAGTCGAACCCGACACTGTCCTCTCTTATTTATCGTTTCACTTTCTCCCCGTGGCTCGTTTACCCGATCCTCATCTTTTCTCGCGAAACAATTAGCAATTAGTAGTCCCGCGAGACAATCTTCCTCGTGATTTCACCGGCTCAGTGATCGTGACCAAAGCGACGCGTTATTATGTCAGTGTCAACGACACCGATCCGCGGAAGCGCGACGAAAAAAAGACACACGCCAGGCGTTGCGTCGTGCGGGGTTCGCTGAACCGAATTCCTCCGGTTAACCACGGGTAAGCCAAGGTGAACCAACGTGAAACCAGGTGGAAACACCGTGTCTCGGATGTCTGCGACGATGTCCCGGAGGCCCGGGACTGCTTTACGGCGGTGCCTCTACGCCCGGGATGAACTTCCTCGGCTGTTGAATATATTAGAAGACGGGCGCACGAACCGAGGAGACGGGACACGAGGTGTCGAGTGGCTTGCTAAGCACCCTGAAAGCCAATTCATAAAGGACCAGGAGATTAACGATGAAATTGAAGTCGTCGAACCGGCAACCGTACGCTTCTCGATCGGGACTTCTCGCGTGTTTAACGCTCGAGGCTCGTTTTTCGAGCGTCGAGAAACTCCATTGTACCCCGAGGGACGATGCGATGACTCGTAAATCGGGCAGAACTTCGAACGAGCCGGCGAAACATGCAAAATCATATGGCTTCGAGGAACCAAGTAGTCGATGATCGTAAAGTGGAAAGAAGTACCGAAAGCACGAAGAGAGAAAATAAACAGCGCGAAACGATGAAGACGAAATTCGACGGAAACTAAAGTTCTCGGAGTCGAGAAAAATTCCCCGACGAAACTTTCTCGGAACTCCGCGACGGGTAACCGAGTTTGGCACATTTCGCGACGATTCCTCCCGAGAAGGCTCATAATCGCGCGTCCTGCTGCGTTCACCGACGTGCTGATAGTGAGTCAGCAGGATAGACGTTCGACAGCATTGGACAGCCCCATCGACAAGTATCTCGAAACGAATTGAACAGACCTTAACATAATTTCGACATCGTTCTTACATGCCGGATACGAGTTTCTCTGAATTGCATGACGCATTGATAGATATACCGTAATGCAAAGTAATTAAATACTTAAACATTTAAGATATCTCACGACGTGCTACGTTTTCCTCGAACATCTCGGAATATCGGTCCCGGACCTCTCCGATCGAATAACAAGAATTCGTTAACTTAAAACAATGCGAGAGAACGAATTATCGTTGTATAATTCTTTGACGAACTCTACGAGCAGAACGCGTAAAAAAAGAAAGAAAGAAAGAAATACACTCCCACCAAAATAGGATGCGCTCGCATCGGCGTGCGGAGCGCGAATGCGCGACAGCAGTCGCGCACCGCAGCTCTTCCACCTGTGCGCAGCCGCGTTTGCGCACCGCACTTGTACCGGCTCTACGTAGCTCCTCTTGCTGGTCCTCTTGGCGCGCCACCGCACCGACCCTCGAGGACTCGTGACCAAGTCCAAGTCCACGACGTCGGTCGTCGACGGAATAAGACACGCGACACTGCGAGTCGAACGCTTTCGTTCGAAGGAAAAGAAAAACTAGGGAAACCCGACGGTGAAAATGTCGCACCGTGTGGCGCGGTGATGCCTCGAAAGGGGGCTAGAATAAAATGAAGCGGCGCTCGCGTACGCGGCTCGCGTCGGAGTCCTGCGGGCACGCTGACTCGGTGGTTGAATTACCGGAGAAAAAGAGAGAATAACCGCGCAGGGAGAAGAAGGCAGAGAAACGCAGAAACGCGCGAGAGGGGGGGTGGGGAACCGGGAAAGGGGAATAAAGAGGAAAACTAAGGGAGAGAGAAAGAGAGAAAGAAGAGAGAGAGGGGAAGGGAGAAAGAAGAGAGAGACGAGAAAGAGGAATACGGGAGAAGAAGAGAGGATGGTCCGGTGTAGCCGGCGGGCACACATCGGCTCCTCTCCGTCGCCAATCGGCGCGCGCGGCGTGGGGCGAGTTTGAGGTAGGGGGCCGCACGACGCACAGCGGTGGTGGCGGTGGCGTGCTGCGGCGGTGGCGGCGGCGGTGGCGGTGGCGCGGCTGCCAAGGTATTTAAGGTACCGTGAACCGGCGGCGCACGAGTAGTTCACTTCTGTTCGGTGCGGTGTCGCGGTGATTTTCAAGGGGACAGAAGAGAAAGAGAGAAAAACAGGGACCGGGAACGAGAGAAAAGTACACGCTCTGAACTCGCACACGCTCGAGGGTGCGAGAGAAGAGCGGACGGAAACATTTCGGTGTGCCCCTGGACATTCCTACCGAGCCGATTGTTTCCCCGAGTTAGTTTTAATCGCGATATACGGCCAAGGACGAGATCCTTTCGTACAGTGACCGAGGTTCGACGATTTAGAATTTCACCAGGAGATTCCGTCGCATCCAACGGGAGAACGCGTCGTCGGACAGGATCGTCAGGGTCGTCCATCGTCGACGACCGTCCTGGATAGGTAAGTCTTAGAAAGAAAAAAAAAAAAAAAGAAATGAAAGAAAGTGAAAAGTATCCTAGTGCATTATAAAAAAAAGAAACACTGGCGAAAAGGGTGGAAAAGTGACGCGCGCGTTCGCTATGCTAGTACACCGGCCTCTCCTCGATCTGGTGATACCAAGTGATCAAGATCAGTGATTCTACTGCACTGTGCGCTACTCGCTCGTCTTCGTCCTCTTCGTCGTCGTCGTCGTCGCTATTATCGTGGATTTCATGGACTGTGACAATGTGCCTCGCCGCAGGAATACCTCGAGTGTTCTCTCAATTGGAAGTACGTACAATATGTGCCAGAAACGTTCGGTTCGTTCGTCGGCGAAGTAACGCGGCAGCGAACGCGCAAAGTGATACGCTTAGCTTTCCGTACGCGATCATTCGAGCCGGTTGTGAATCGTCGAGATCGATAAACTAGCCTCGAGTGCAGAAAAGCATCCTCGTTTTTCACCTACTCGCTTATCGAAGTACACCTGTTACGCTTCGTACAAATCGAACACCGGTTCGAACTCGGTATCAATCTCGAGCGCTGCCTCGTCGCGTTTCGAACGTTTCGCTGGATTCTTTAGATAAAAACCGAATGGAATTTCGTGTTAGTCACGGTACGAGACAAGAACGCAAACAACATTTTCCTGCCGGCTGGAAAGAAACGGTCCGCGCGACGATGGACCGGTCTAGAACGGAGTCAAAGAGGCCCGGGCCTAAATAATTCAAGTCGACGGGCACAATAGGTGTGCGTGTCGACTTGCAGCCGCGAAGACTGGTCGGACTCGCACGAACAGCTCGTACAATTAAAGAAACAGTGCGTCTGAATGCCGTGGCAAACCGCGCCGATACCTGAATACCGAAGGAACGTAACCGGCGAATCTCTCCGTTTAACATCCGTGAAACACCGTTCGATTGCGTTCCGCTCTTCGGATCGGCAAAAACTTTCCTTGCTACCGAATCGAATCGTGGATTTGAAAAAAAAAAATAAAGAATTACTCCGGGAGATCCGATCGTTCCTTCGTTCTGTCCCGAACAAAAGGGGGTCCGAAATTGTATCAATTTTTCCCGGGGAGGGTTCGAAAGCGGAATATAAAACAGGGCCCAACGGCGGCGGAACGCGCGCCAGCATAATGAGTCAGAAGGAATTCCAGGGACGAGAATAATGGATCGTTCCCGTGAGCGACACGCTGCTAACAGAAACGAAAAATGTAAACTAGGAGAATCTATGGAGGCGCACGGACCCCTTTGTATCCCGTCGGCATAAACGGGCTTCCTTTCCGACTACGAACGCGAGCCGGTGTAACGCACGTGAACGAGCCACGAATTCCTACGGCGAATCGAATTCTATGCTTCCCCATCGAAGCAACCACGACGACGAGGACGACGGGAGAAATCAGCGCGATGCACCTAGCCGAGATTAAACTGTGCACCAGTTCGTTATGAATCGGTTCGAAGAGGCGATTCTGCCGGCCGGGAATAAAAGAGAACGAATTTGTCACGGTCGAAGTAGCCCGAAGATGTTGCGATTGCATTAGCATCCATGATCACGAGGTAGACGAGCGAACGTGCGCTTAGCCGATCGTTGAATCACCTTTGCCAGGAAACGGGGGATTTCTAATCAACGAATTACTTTGTTCCTACCTGCTCGGTATATAATAACAACAACGACCAATTAATTATGCGACCATCTAGTTATCCGCTAATTATCGCCAGCCACCGTGCCTGTTTCTATTTCACGCCGCGATAGGAATTTCCACGAGTGCGTTTCTTTTTTTTTCCTCGGAGAGTTCGATAACCGATGCACTCGTGGGATGCACTTTTTAATCGTTCGATTCAATTTTCTATCTACAAATTCATCCCGTCGCGTGCACGAATTTTCTATGCAACTGAAAGAGGATTTTTCTCGTGTGTACGAACAATAACGCTGGTTACCCGGCTTCTTAGCCGTGCCTCGTCCGGTTAATTGCTAATTACTAAAGGCTAATTACCGAGACCGTGTGTGGTGGCCGGGCACGAGGCTGCCCGCTCGTTCCACGCAGCGACGAAAATGAAATAGAGTAATGGAGTGTAAGTAAGAAGCACGCAATCTGCGAACAATAGCCGTGGAGAATCGATCCTTCTGTCGACTTAATTGCAATCTCCAAAAGAAAGGGAGAAACGTTCTTACTTTTTTTCCTTTTTTTTGAATGAAGTTAATTTCAAATCAGCTGGTGGGTACTTTGGTATAATACGGAGCATCTTGAAGCGGTGACGATTAAGATTTCGCGAACATAGCCTCTCGGGTAAAAGAAGAGAACGGTTCTTTCGAAGAGAAGAGTCAACCGTAAGCAGGTTTCGAGCTAGGCGTGCCGCGAATTAATTACCACTGGTAATAACTAGCTCGAGCATAGCTGGCTAGCTTTTTATTTTCCTCTCGTCTCGTCTACTTCGCGTCTCACCCTTTTCGCAACAGGCTGTGTTTGCTTGGCTAGACTGTTCGCAGCTTTCTTTTGTGCCTGCCACTTTGTTACCAACAACGTAGGTAAACCGTGAGCTGTGAAAACCAATGTCGCACAACTTGTTGGAACGACACGCGATTAGCGAGCTAAAGTTTGCGCCTGCAGCTGCACGTTTCGTCTACCATTAGTTAATGATCATTTCAAATGTAATGAAGTAATTAAAATAAAAAAATGGGAGGAAGATTTGCATATACTTTTATCTTAAATATAAAATAACGAATTGAAAGTTTGGATTAGAGAATTAATCCTCGGACGGCGGACCATGGAGAGAGCGCAAATTTTAATTTAATTTCGATTTACCCAGACTCCGCTGTTCGAGGGTTAACTAATCATTAATCCTAAGATTTTCTCATCTGGAAAATTTATAAAGATTACTACTTTCTTATCACAGGGGTCTATGTTTACTGTGTCTGATCAACGTGTCAACTCCCGCCGCTTAAGTGTTGTCTGAGAAATGATGCATGCTATGACGTATTAGTTGATTAAATTGGGCGACCAAAATCGCAGTGAAAGTATTCGAATATCGTTGAGCAAGAATTTATGCTGCTATACGCGTTCGGGTCCTCGTTTGAGCGACCATTTGAATCACGTAGGCCCACACGAAACGGTAAAAACCGAGAGATGCGGTTCGTGTCGCGGCACGAAATCGGGTCGTGCGACCGAGCAGTCGCTTATTTTCAGCAGAAAATACTAAATTCCTCGATCGACCGTCTCCTTCGACTCTTCGAACCTCTGGTGAATTTTTAAGAAACCTCCTGCGTGCATTGAACTTGATAAATTACATTGAGAATTTTACATCGTCGGATGTTAGAAGATCGGGGGATATGCTCCAAATTTATTTTAATTTTTAGTTTGTGAATTAACCCGTGTGTCCACGAGAGTATCACTAAACTAATGGTACCGGTACATCCCGTTTGTCGAACGTCGAGTAACATCTTTTGAAACTGTTTCAAAGCGATCGAGCATTAAAAGAGGCAACGCTTCCTATCGACCCAGGCCCCGTCCATATAACGTTTCAAAAAAGAACACCTCCGTGGACGGTTGGTTCGTCGGACACTGGCCTGACCGCCGTTGAAAAAGGGCTATTAAAAATATCGAGCACGGAGACTGGACCTATCAGCCCGTGAAATCCTGCATTCATAGGGCCGTTCAAAGGAGAGGCGATCAATTATTCATTCCCCCTAATGTCAGTCAGAAATTTCGAGGATTTCTCTAATTCTCTGGCAATTTTCCATTTTTCGAAATAAGTGCCTATTCTAATTTTCTATAATTATTAATTTTTTCTGAAATGAAATTTAAGCTTAAACTAGAATTTCTCGAATTCTCTGGCAATTTTTTATTTTTCGAAATAAGTGCCTATTTTAATTTTCTATAATTATTAATTTTTCAATCGAGATGAAAATGAAATTTAAACTTAAACTTAGGAGACCTAAAGATTTCTTATTTTGAGAATCACTCCTTCAATTTTTTACCACTCCAAATAAGTGGCTATTTCAAATTCCTTTGTCCATTATTTCATAACTTGAAATTAGGGGATCGAGTCCAAATTCCGTTCACACGGAACAGAGTATGCCGCCTAGTTCGCGGTATCGTCGATACACTTTTCATATTCCACGCACGCGTTCTTCGTACACGAAGTGCTAATTCAACGTCACGCCTTGTTCCACGGAACCGAATCTTCCGAAGAGACGACCTCCTACGATTATCACGGAATTTGGATACGCTCGGGTTCGCGTAGGTGAATGCGAATGAACCCGAAATTCGCTTGTTCGGCCGTTGACTCCCTCGGAACGTACAAGAATCAGGAAGTTGTACCATTTTCGTTCGGTTAACCTTTTCGTAGTTGGAATCGATTCGCGAACCGACAATGGGGGGAGAAAAAGCGAAGACGCGTTTATCGGTTTTCTGTCACGATTCTAAATCGTTCGCGTTTGCTTCGTACGCGAAAACGAACGTTCCCATTACCGGCGAACAAAGAAGTTTAATTACCGAATTGTCCGTTTCGCGAACGATTCCTCCGTCTCTCGATTACCCGATTGTAATCACCCTTTGCATAGCAAATATCTAGGGTACGATCCGGGTACTTTATCTTATCCGCCTCACGTAATCTCGGTTTATTCAATGTATGCGCTGAATTTTTATCTCGATGCAGATTAAAGTCCAAATGATACGAATAATTAAAGTAAGATCAAGAGCACGTTCATCCTTCTGCTTATCTTTCACACGTAACAGACGTTTCAGACGCAACATCATGATTATCTCGCGAAGCGTAACCGTGATATTTCTAATTAATAACGTCATTATAGACGGCTTTGTCGCAAATACGCGAGGATCGTGATGGAATTCACGCGACACGGTTTCACGGTTTCGCGGTCTGCGAACGGGTTTCGAACGGTTTCTGTCTGCTCGATTGAAATACCACGAATGGGTTTACCTTGTGATACTTCGTATTCCTTACGTCGCTGCCCGTGCCTCGATGTCGAAT